CCACCACGCCCAGCTAATTTTTTTACTTTTAGTAGAGACCAGGTTTCACCATGTTAGCCAGGATGGTCTCCATCTCTTGACCTTGTGATCTGCCCACCTCAGCCTCCCAAAGTGCTGGGATTACAGGTGTGAGCCACTTTGTCTGGCCTCACTGCCTACTTTTTTAACCTTTCTCTGACTTATGTTTTAGGTATGCCTTTTATCAATATCAAATAACTGGGATTTTAATAAAATCCAATCGGAAAACAATAACAATAGTGAACTCTTGTATAGTACCTACTGTGTGTCAAGTATTGCTGAGTACTTTTTAACCTACATTAAAGCATTATTTTCCACAGATCCTATGAGATAGGCACTATCATTATACCCATTTTACAAATAAGGAAACCAGAGACACAGAGGAATAAAATAACTTGCCCAAGGTCATGGTACTAATAAGCGGCAGGATTTAAAAAAAAAACAAACAAAAAAAAACAACTGTTTTTTAGAGACAGAGTCTCCCTATGTTGTCCATTCCAGGTTGATTTCAGACTCTTGTCCTCAAGTGATCCTCCTGCCTCAGCATGCTGAGCAGCTAGGACTATAGGCATAGGCCATTACAGCTGGCAGGAATACGTTTTTCTTTTATTTTTTGGTATATTTTTATTTTGCCTGTGACACAGCCCTCGGGAGTTTCTGAGAACATGTGTCCCAGGAATACATTTTTTTTTTTTTTTTTGAGACAGAGTTTCACTCATGTTACCCAGGCTGGAGTGCAGTGGCGCGATCTCGGCTCACCGCAACCTCCGCCTCCTGGGTTCATTCAGTTCTCCTGCCTCAGCCTCCTGAGTAGCTGGGACTACAGGCACGCGCCACCATGCCCAGCTAATTTTTTGTAGTTTTAGTAGAGACGGGGTTTTGCCATGTTGACCAGGATGGTCTTGATCTCTTGACCTCGTGATCCACCCGCCTCAGCCTCCCAAAGTGCTGGGATTACAGGCTTGAGCCACCGCGCCCGGCAGGAATACATTTTGTATCATAACCTTGTACACAAAAGTTATTGAAATAATACTTTCTTTTTACTAAATGCTTTCTGCGATGTTCTATTTTATTTAAAAAGAAAATGTGGCTTGCAGTTCACTAAACTGATTTCATCACCACTAGTGGGTCACAACACTGTCTGAAAAACTCTATTCTACAGAAAATATGGAGGCAGCTCTCCTCTCTCCCCAAATTTTAAGTCTGGTGACTATGAACCATAACTGATAGTTTCAAAAGTCAAGTCATATTTATACAAAAGAAAAATTGGGGAATGATTATACTTTCTAAAATATGTATGTTTCAAAACAAGTTAATTCCTATAAAGCACTGGAAATAGAGTGCTTAGAGATGCTGGAGAGATAGGAAATGGATTGGAAGAGTTGATGGGGCCTTCTTGGAGAAAGCAGATCTTGAGCAAAACATGAGGGGAAGGAGGATTGGTGGTTTTATAAGAAGTGGGAGGTGTCTGAGATTGAGAGGCAGCATATTCATCAGGAACTGCAGAAACTCAAGTCAGAGGTCTTGCATGCCAGGCATTTCTGCTGTCTCTGTTTCTGGCATAGGCCTTGCATATACTCTTACCTCTCCCTAGACCACACTTCTTCACTTATTTACAGATACTCGTCCTTCATCCTTCAGAGTTCAACATGTGGACACTTCTCAGAACACCCACGTCTACATCAAATTACCTCTGTTTAATACTTTCGTAGCACCACATATATCCCCCCTTTGTAACACTCATCACTGGTCGCAGTTTTATATTTATAGATGTGATTATTTGATGATTATGCTTTCTCCCTGACTGAAAGCTATGTGAGGGCAAGGAGTGGGACAGTTTTTACTTGTTATAGTCCCTAAACCTGGCACACAATTTATGGTCATTAAATACTGGTATTTGCTAAATGAACTCCTGGTAATTTGGTTAGAGTCCAGCCTCCTCACTCTCTGCTTAGTGCTGCAGGTGGAAGGTGACTTGAGCCTTGGAAAGTGTCAGACTCTTCCTTTTAAACCCCTTTCTACAGAGGAAGAATTCTCCTGCTTGTGGCAGGAATGTGGCTTTTGTTCTCTGGACAGTTCTGCTGACCTCATCCGCCATGTCTACTTCCACTGCTACCACACCAAGCTGAAACAGTGGGGGCTGCAGGCCTTGCAAAGCCAGGCTGACCTCGGCCCCTGCATCCTGGACTTCCAGAGCCGGAACGTCATCCCTGACATCCCTGACCACTTCCTGTGTCTGTGGGAGCACTGTGAGGTCAGCAGGCAGTGCCAGTAATCGGGGTGGAAGGAAGCTGGGGATCTTAACTCTGATGCCTTGTCCCTTTCAGGAATGCTTTACATTTCCAAGATTCCTGCTAGTATCTCTTCTCCATTTCTTCTGCTCTCTTTAAATTTTTATACACAGGCTCTTAGTCTGAAGCCCAGGCTAGAGTGCAGTGGTGCACTCATAGTTCACTGTTACCTTGAACTCCTGGGCTCAAGCAATCTTCCCACCTCAGCCTCCCAAGTAGCTAGGACTGTAGGCATGTACCACCATGCCCAGCTAATTTCTAAATTTTTTGTAGAGACAGGGTCTGGGTATGTTTCCCAGGCTGGTCTCCAACTCTTGGCCTCAAGTGATTCTCCTGCCTCAGTCTCTCAAAGTACTGGAATTACAGGGTTGAGCCACCATGCCTGGCCACTCCATTTCTGTGTAGCTCCTTTCCTCAAACTTTCCCATCCCCATCAGGTTAATTTGGGAGAGAGCCAAGAATTATTTGGGCACATAGGGGTGATTTCCTCCACCCACCCTCAGTCCTCACCCCAAGTTGCCCCTGGCACAGAGTTCCTTCGACAATCCTGAGTGGTTTTATCGCCATGTGGAAGCCCACAGTCTGTGCTGTGAATATGAAGCAGTCGGCAAGGACAACCCTGTGGTGCTGTGTGGCTGGAAAGGTAGGGCTACTCCTTAACTTCTGGCCTCTGGAAGAAACCTTGGGGTTGGTGAAGAGCTAGGACAGGAAGGGATGGGAGTCCTCTAGGGACAAGGTTGGCTACTGGCTGGAGAGTCTCAGGGGTACTAGATCCTAGCCAAAACTGGGGTTTTGTGGCTGGAGACTGACAGGGTTCCTTCCCAGGCTGTACCTGCACCTTCAAGGACCGCAGTAAACTTCGGGAGCATCTCCGCAGCCATACCCAGGAGAAAGTGGTAGCCTGCCCCACCTGTGGGGGCATGTTTGCCAACAATACCAAGTTCTTAGATCACATCCGTCGCCAGACCTCATTGGATCGTAAGTAGTCAGAGGAAGTGGGGTGGATGCAGGCTGTGCTGCTTGGAATGGGTTAGGGGCATGTGTCTAGTGGGGGTGGCTGCCTGAAGAGACCTGCCTCTTGGCTCCCTCTTCTTTTTGGGCTCAGGTACCTCCCATAGTCTCTTTGCTGATTCAGATTTATAGACATTGTTATTCAGTACTTACTGTGTGTCATATCAGTTATATCAGGGAATCCTCACAACAGCCCCATGAGGTAGGCTTCTTATCCCCCTTTTTGCAGATGAGGAAACTGAGGCTCAGAAAGGTTAAATCACTTACCTGAGATCACACAGCTAGTAAGTGGTGAAGCTGGAATTCTAACTCAGGTTCTCCAAGTCCCATGCTCTTTCCATGATACTGTGTCCATGCATAGCTCCCTAAGCTCCCCTTTTCTCCTTGGGTGGTTCCCTTCTGCCTGGGATGGTTCTCCTTTCCTTTTTGTGCCTCTCCACTATCCCCTACAGCCCTTCTTTCTTCTGCCTGCCCCACCCCAGAGCAGCACTTCCAGTGTTCTCACTGTTCCAAGAGATTTGCCACAGAGCGGCTGTTGCGGGACCACATGCGCAACCATGGTGAGTGCCTGCAGCCCCCAGCCTCCCTGCTGCCCTCCAACGTTCTACAAGTTCTCACATCACAGCCTCCTCTCTGCTCCTCTCAGTGAATCACTATAAGTGCCCTCTGTGTGACATGACTTGTCCACTGCCTTCCTCTCTCCGCAACCACATGCGCTTTCGTCACAGTGAGGACCGGCCCTTTAAATGTGACTGTTGTGACTACAGGTAAGGGGAACCAGGGACCAGAAAACAGTTTGTGTTCCAGAGTTCCCCATGTCCTCCAATCCCTCCTGATTTCTCATGGCAGCTGCAAGAATCTTATTGACCTCCAGAAGCACCTGGATACCCACAGCGAGGAGCCAGCCTACAGGTGTGATTTTGAGAACTGCACCTTCAGTGCCCGTTCCCTCTGCTCTATCAAGTCCCATTACCGCAAAGTACATGAAGTGAGTGAGGCCGTTGGTGGGAAGGGCTAGTGGAGGTATGGGCGACCCTGGGGCGAAAAGTTGGTCTCATTTCTCCCTTCCCCATCAGGGAGACTCTGAGCCAAGGTACAAATGTCATGTGTGTGACAAATGCTTCACACGGGGTAACAACCTCACCGTGCACCTTCGTAAGAAGCACCAGTTCAAGTGGCCTTCAGGGCATCCCCGTTTTCGGTATGTCTCCCAACCCTCCTTCCCAGATTAACACACTTGTTTTTATACCTTTTCAACATGTTTTAAAAACCTTAATTTGATGGTGGTTTTATGTCTACCGTCTCCATTTAGATTCAGAGAACCCTAAGAATAGTGGGGTAGCAAAGCTTATTTTTCTGTTTTTTTGAATCTTGTAGGCATGGTGCCAAACCCAATAAATGGTGCCAAAAAGTCCTGCAGCCAGAACTAGAGGGTTCTGATCCTTGGCTCCAAGGCCTTCTCATAAATCCTTTGACACTCTCATCCTCCAACACAGTCAGTCAGTCTGTGTGTTTCTCTGATTGGGTTTCTACATAAAACTTTCCATTTTAAGTAATGATCTTTCCATCTTGCTTTTTCTTCTACATGTTCTAATAAAGACCTTTTTTGTCTTTAACTCCTGTCACTTGGAATTCAGGACTTCTTCCATCCCTCATGTTTGTTCCTTACTTTGCCAGCCTCCAGGCCATTTCTGTATCCCCCTTTGCTGCCCTTTATGCTCCTACCTCACCAGGTACAAGGAACATGAAGATGGCTACATGCGGCTGCAGCTCGTTCGCTATGAGAGTGTAGAGCTGACACAGCAACTGTTGCAGCAACCACAAGAGGGATCAGGCCTGGAAGCATCACTGAATGAGAGCAGCCTGCAGGGCATTATTCTAGAAACAGTGCCAGAGGAGCCAGGACGTAAAGAAGAGGAAGAGGGCAAGGGCGGCGAAGGGACAGCCCTCTCGGCCTCTCGGGACAACCCCAGTTCTGTCATCCATGTGGTAAATCAGACCAGTGCTGAAGGCCAGCAAGAGATTGTCTACTATGTGCTCTCTGAAGGCCCGAGAGAGCCTCCCCCAGCCCCTGAGCCACCCTCAGGGGATATCATGGAAAAGTTTCAAGGAATAGCTGAGGAGCCAGAGATCCAGATGGTGTGAAGGCCGCAGAGCCAGACCACTTCTTCCCCAGGCCCCAGAATTTGAGCCAGGCAAGTGGCAGTGTCCCTTGGGCAGCCGTTGCCAATGGATGCCTTTAGGAGTGGTGCTGAGAGGAGTGTGGTCCATTCTGGCCCAAGTTTGCATCATTGTGCGGACTCTAAAGACTTCCCGTTTCTGCCAGACTGCATTTTGTGAGGAGCCTGAGGACTTTGTATTCTTGAGGGGCTCCTGGATTTGTGTGTTCTTATTAAAGGGGCTGTTATCAGACTTAACCATAACCCCCAAGACATGCTTGACAGTGATTAAATCCTTAGCTCACATCCATTCCCATCTTTAGAGGTCCTTAGGCCCAAGGGTGGCATGTGATGCGTCCCTACAAGGGTCCTTTCTTCATCACCAGCCAAGGCATTGAGAACCAATTAACCATTTTCCTCTTAAGGTTTCCTCTACAACCCCAAGGACTTTCATGGTTATCCTCAGGGACAGAATTGGAGGCATTGAGTGTGTTTATTAACGATTGTTTTTGGTAATAAAAGAAATGCTTGAACTCTTACTCATTTCTTCTTACATTTGGTGGCAGTTTACTAGGTAATGAGGAGATATAGCTGTTCAGAAGAGGAGCTGAATGATTAGGCTTGTTCCCCTTCTGGTGACTCAGGTGGTTTGTTTTTTGTTTGCTTAACTGTCCTGTTGTCCTTTCCTCCGCCCCTTGGTGAAACATCTCTATTTCTTCTCAGACTATATGCCATTTCCGTGGAGGCCCCAGGTCTTTGGCTGTGAGTGGGCAGTAGTAGTGTTACAGAATTTTAGAATGAACAAGAATGGGCTCATCAGGATAGGGCAGCTGACCATGGCCTCACTCTCAATACTGATTAGAACCCAGTGCCTCTAGGGTAGGGATTTTTTTTTTTTTTTTTTAGACAGAGGCTCACTCTGTTGCCCAGGCTGGGCATGGAGTAGGGGTTCTTTACCTGTGGGAGTGGGAGGGAAGCTAGGGGTGGAGAGTGGATTTGGAAGCCTCTCAGGGAAGAGGGACAGTCAAGTGGTCCAGGAACCAAACTAGAAAATTGTGTGTCTGAATGCATTTTCCTGGGGAAAGGATCAGTTTTTTACTGGATTCTCAAAGAGACTGAAACCTCCCAAAATAACCATTCTTTTTTTTTTTTTGAGATCGAGTCTCACTCTGTAGCCCAGGCTGGAGTACAGTGGCATGATCTTGACTCGCTGCAACCTCTGTCTCCCGGGTCCCAGTTCAAGCAATTCTTCCTCAGCCTCCCAAGTAGCTGGGATTACAGACATGAGCCACCATGCCCAGCTAATTTTTGTATTTTTTAGTAGAGATGGGGTTTTACCATGTTGGCCAGTCTGGTCTTGAACTCGTGACCTCATGATCCGCCCACCTTGGCTTCCCAAAGTGCTGGGATTATAGGCATGAGCCACCGCACCTGGCCATAAGAACCATTCTTTAGGCTGTTTCAGCTACTTCTCAGCATGCTGTGTCCATTTTTATGGTCTGCTGCTACGCTGGAGAGGTCAAGGAAATAGTCTTGGGTGGACAGGAAGCTACCCAAAAAGGACCTCTGGGCCTTTTTTTTTTTTTTTTTAAAGACCTAATTCTATTATTAGAAAACCTGTGTGTGTCTATTTGTGGAAAGGGAAAAAAAACAATCTCTTCATCAATCCCATCAGCCATTTAGTGAGTTCCTACTATAGTCCAGGCACAGGTACTAAGGGTACAAAGATGAATAAAACCTAGGACTTCCCTGAAGGGACTTGCAATGTAGAAGCAAGGAAAGACTAGGTAAGCTGGGTGATAGAAGTTTAGAATAGGGTACATTTAGAAGGTTCCTGGGTGATAGAAGTTTAGAATAGGGTACATTTAGAAGGTTCCAAATAGGAGTAGGTGGTATTACCTGGGCAAGGAGTCAGGAAAGGTTTCATCCAGGAAGAGACCTTCCACCTAACCAAGACTACTTGAAGACTTTAAGGTTCTAAACTCTGAAAAGATTGTCATGTCCCATTTTTCATATGTAATCAGAATGAAAATATTCTGAAACATTTAAGAAAGTTCAACATCATTATACTTAAGATGTACACTGTATATAGGTTATCAAATTCTGTTTCTAATTTTTTCTTTCATTTTTCAGTTCCCTTGTTTTACTGGTGTTCTAAGCACTAGCTTGGGCTGCCCCTTGAGTAATGCAGCACGAATGACTTTATCCATTCTTCCATGAATAGTGCCTTAGGGAACAGGCCAGCATTCTATGAAAAGGGCCTTCCCTGGCTGGGCATGGTGGTTCACACCTGTAATCTCAGCACTTTGGGAGGCCAAGGCGGGTGGATCATGAGTGCAGGAGATTGAGGCCGTCTTGCCTAATACGGTGAAACCGTGTCTTTACTGAAAATACAAAAAATTAGCTGGATGTGGTGGCACATGCCTGTGGTTCCAGCTACTTGGGAGGCTGAGGCAGGAGAATCGTTTGAACCTGGGGCAGAGGTTACAGTGAGCCGAGATCGCGCCACTGCACTCCAGCCTGGGCAACAGAGCAAGACTCCATCTCAAAAAGAAAAAACAGCCTTGCCTACTAGTCTCAGTCAGGCCCACACCAAATCCCATTGCTCTATCTGGACCATGGAGACAGCAGAAGAGATTCTGGTCTGGTACCATGTGATCCCATTCCCTAGGAGAAGGGGTGACTTGGGATTCTGGGATCAGTAGGCATGACTTAGAAAGTAGTGGACTGGGAGTGAGGAGTCATTGTTAAGTAGCCTAGGCAGCCAGAGGCTTCTGGAAGGATACTGAAACTGCACTGGATGACAGTGGGCTCCCACCAGGAGCGAGGGAGGAGGGTGACTATCCTAATTTGGTTACCTTAGAGTTTCATCTAGAGTCAACCCTGGTCCCAGCATCATGGTATCTGAAGATTAAGGAGACACCCTGTCTTAGTCTTCCTTAAAGGGACTAGGGACAGGAGAGAAGGCAGGTGGGCCAGGAGTTGGAAGCAGATACTTGTTTTCTCTTATTTGGGACAAGTCCACAACCACAAAGGACTTAGAAGAACTGGGTGGATATAAAAAAGTGTCAACTATGGCCAGGCGCAATGGCTCATGCCTATAATCCTAGCAGTTTGGGAGGCTGAGGTGGGCAGACTACTTGAGGTCAGGCATTCGAGACCAACCTGGCCAACATGGGGAAACTTCGGCTTTAGTAAAAATACAAAAATTAGTCGGTGTGGTGGCATGTGCCTGTAGTCTCAGCTACTTGGGAGGCTGAGGCAGGAGAATTGCTTGAGCTTGGGAGGCAGAGGTTGGAGTGAGCTGAGATCATGTCACTGCACTCTAGCCTGGGCGACAGAGCAAGACTCTGTTTCAAAAAAAGTGTCAACTAAAAAGGAAAACTGAAAAAGGGGCCAGGTACAGTGGCTCATGCCTGTAATCCCAGCACTTTGGTAGGCCAAGGTAGGTGTATCACTTGAGCCCAGGAGTTCACAACTAATCTGAGTGACATGACGAAACTCCATCTCTACAAAAAATACAAAAATTAGCCCAGGCATGGTGGTGCATGCCTGTAGTACCAGCTACTTGGAAGGCTGAGGTGAGAGAATTGCCTGAGCCCAGGGAAGTTTAGGCTGCAGTAAGCTGTGATTGTACCACTGCACTCCAGCCTGGGTGATGGAATGCTGTCTTAAAAAAA